GCTCAAGGTCACGTGGAGGTCAGTAACTCCTGAAGCCCCACCCCCACCCCCCAGTTTGTTCAACTGCACAGTCTGGTTTCTGTGGATGAGGAACCTCCAGCCCCTGCCAGAGCCCCAGGTTCACATCCACCCTGTATAATGCGGCTTCAGGAGGGCCAGGGCATGCAGAGTCCGAGGACACAGGTGAGTGAGAAAGGGGATAGAAGGGAAGCCTCCTACACCAAAGTCAGTCTGGGGCTTAACATCGCCACCGTCGCCTGATAGCTGCGGACCCTCACAGTAACCTAGGCAAAGGTCCTGGCAATGACTGCTGTGCTTGTAGGTGCAGAAAAGGAGGCACCGAGGGATTAAGTAACAACGTCACAAAACTGATACATGGCGCTGCTGAAATTTAAAAAAAGGGAAAAAATCGAGACCAGCAGATGGCGTCATGGTTACATCGCTGGACTCCCACATGGCTGACTGCAGTTTGAGTCCTGGACCTGGCAACTTGAAACTCATGCCAGCTGTATGCACGTGCATGCCCACAATCCCAAGAGGAGAGGAGAGGAGAAGGGACCACGGCATGGCCATCTCCCCAGAGGGGTGATTTCTCACTTTCTGTCTCTCTTGAATCTCTCTTCTCTGGCAGGTGCATGCACCCTATAGCAAAAATCTCCCTAAAAAAAAAATCAGATTGTCAATTCAGAGGTCACCTGAGCCACTAGACCATGGGAATAATGCACGGATGCTGGCCACTTCAGAGAGGTTGGTGTGGTGCGGCCGGAGAAGCTGGGCCTGCCTTCCTTGACTCCTCAGCGACAACATTCAACACCTGCCACTGCACCCAGCACTGTGCGAGGCCGGTCTACGTGAAGCCTCCTCAAACCCGCCTGACGTCCAAGGAGCTGGGAGGTGAGCTCCACTCTGAAGAGGAAGGGGCAGACGCCAGGAGGGAAGTTTTTAAGTGAAAATCAGTCATCAGACACTAGCGACAGTATAGGGGTAAGAGGGGGGGGGGGGGGGGTCAGGGAAAAAGCAAACAAAACATCTAATAGACACAGAAACGAAACGTTACCCGTTGATGATAATGGAGATGCAATGTCTGACCGACTAATCGCACCATGTTGATGCTGGGAAAAACCGTGTTGTACACTGCAAAGACGTACAGTGATTAAATGTGAATTTTTTAAAACAAGAAAAGAAAAACAAAATCAACCCAGACAGCTTCAGCCATGCATACTGCTTTTGAAAAGGTCCTGGAGCAAAGGCTGGTTTTAAGGAGAAATAGCAGGTGAACATGGCAGGTGTGGCACCCCTTCCAGGCACTGTCTGCCCCCATCTAAGGGTGTCAGCACCGGACTGGCACATGCTTGCAACCGCAGGGTGCCAGGAGACATCGGAGTCTCTTTATATTGTTGTGGGGTGTAGAGATTTTCAGCCAAACTCCTCTACCTCCAGCCGTTCAAAGAACAGCTTCCAAGTCAGGTTGGTTGTTTTTGTTTTCTGTGAGAGGTTTTTGCTATAGGGCTCGCCAGAAACACAGAGAGAGACAGAGAGACAGAAAGCGAGAAATCACCCCCAGGGGTGGGGGGGAGGCCACACCGCAATCCCTTCTCCTCTATTCTTCTCTCAGGATCTTGGGCACACACACACATGCACCTGAGTTTAAGCCACCGGGTCTGGCACTCGCACCACAGTCAACTACATGGGAGTCCAGCAACATAGCTATTATGCCAAGCACTGGTCCCCCAAGTCAGGTTTTTAAAACAGCTCTTCTTTCAATAATTTCAGCCAATGTCCTTGGCCTTCTCATCCTGGGTGATCTGGAGGGTTGAGCAGGCTGGGACACAGCACAGGGCGGAGCCTACAGGCAGTGAAGCTGGGGGACTTCTTGGAGGCGGCATGTCTGTGAACTGAGATGAAAGCTGAGAGGAGGCATTGGCAATGTCGTACGACTTTGGCAGGACATCCACCCACTCATTGGCCAGTTCAGGCATCAACGCTCAAGTGGCCTGAGCCAGCTCCTGTGTGGAAGAGCTTCATAGCACCCTCGACGTTGTTAAGGTTTGTCCGCTGGGAGCCAACAGACTATAAATTCTGGAATTGCTTCTCTCGTCCAAAAATAATTTTACCTGTAATTTCTTAAGATAAAATGTGAAAATTGACCTCTGATGAGAATTGCATATGAATAAAAAAATAAAATAGACACAAAAATGAAGTTACCTGCTGATGATAATGTGGATGGTGAGGTCTTCGACTTGACTGGTATGTGCCATATTGCTGGGAAAAACCAGCTCGCACGCTTGCTTTAATCGAGAACATGTAACCAGGGATGAGCCGGAGCCTGCTGGTCTTGCCTCGTAACCTCCTTTTTGATCTCCAGCACTGCCTCTCTGAGAGCGTCCGCCAGGCATGCCGTGGAACCAATGTGGAGACCAGGTGGTGGACGCTGTCCCGTGGGCAGGGCTGCTGCCAACCAGACTGCAGCAAGCAACTCTCTGGTCACACTGCAAATGCCAGGTCCCGACATGCACATGTTTGTTTACCATATTATATAAAAGCGTTATTTTGCCAGGATTAAAAAATGAAAAATTAGACAAAACAAACTGAACTTCACCACAGATGGTTTGAGAGCCACTGTTCTAAAAGGAATCTCCAGGCAGAGACGGGAGAGGGCGTGTGTGCAAGCACGCGCACGTGTGACCAGGGAGCCAGAGCGAAGAGGAGTGAGAGGACGCGACTCCCTCCCGCAGTAAAACCACTGCTGTGCCGGGTGATTACATACTGCAGGCCTCCATGGTAAACAAAACCGTTTGTTTCCCTTCTCCCCACCAGCCTCGCTGGCGATGAGCTCAGAGCTGCTGAAGACGGGCTGTGGCCCAGGGCCAGTGGCTGAGGTCCCTTCTGACCTCCTGGCCAACCTGGCTACTTGGAAGATGGGGACTAAGGCCTGCTGTTCCCTCCCTCCTCCCTCAGCCTCCGCCTCCAGCCTGGCTTTGCGTGGACTTTCCAGCTCCTGAGGAACCTGCCCGGAGGCCCCGGGCACTGAGCAACGCCCTCCTCTGCAGGCTGAAGCCACGTGGGAGGCCTGGGCTGGTTCCTGGCCCACCCTGGAGCCAGGTGGGGCGAGCCCATAGTCCCAGCTACTCCAGAGGCCGAGGCTGTGTAGACAGATTCTGGCAGAAAAAAGACTCTGCCCGGGGAGGCGTGGCAGCTGTGGCTCCACCTTGAGTGGCTGGCCCCAGCAGGCCGAGGGCTGCCTTCTCCCAGCACCTCTTGGGCCTAGTCTACGCGGTGAACATGGCTTTTAAGTCACTCCAGCCATAAGCCCTGACGTGGGCTGTCCCTTCCTGACAGACAGCGTTCTCTACGTGCATGACTGGGGAGACCCTTGGTGAAACTCCGTGTCACTCGGGGAGCTGCCTGTGGCGATGAGTGAGGGGCGGCAGGACCTGGCTGTGGCCCTTCCATCGCACCTTCGGGAACAATGGACTTGGAGCTGGGCGCTGCGATTGTCCGAGACCCTCCCCTGTCCTGTCCCTCAGGGAGACAGCCAAGAGGCAGACGCTCCCAGAGAACGAGAGGGCAACTCTCCTCTGCCTGGGTCAGAAAGGGCTGGGGCGGGAACCAGCAGTTAGCGTAATGGCTATGTCGCTGGACTCCCACGTAGTGGACCGCGGTTCACATCCCGGACCCAGTGGCTTAAAACTCACGCTGGTGCATGCAGCGTGACCATACCCCCTGGGGGGGGGTGATTTCTCGCTTTCTGTCTCTGTCTCTCTCTGTCTGGCGAGTACACGCACCCTATAGCGAAAACCTCTCCAAGAAAAGAAAAAGAAAGGGTTGGGGCAAGGACAAGAAACGTTTGGAATCTGTCGATTTTCCACTTCTGTTTGTTTGCTTTTAGACAGGGCCTGGTCACGTCGGATCGCCTGCCTGAGGCTCCCAGGAGCTGAGACCGTGGGCACAGCGCCATGCTTTCACAGGCCTCGGCCCCCGAGGAACACGTCTGCCACCACTCTGTGGTGCCTGGGCCCATTTTTTTTATTTTATAACACTTCAGATTAATCTGTCCCCTCTGCTGTGTAAACGCCAATTTTATTTTCTGATCGTCTCTTGCCTGGCTGGGACTCACGTCCGGCCAGTGCGTGATCCGCTCCCTGGACTCAGTCTTCAATCAGCGGGAAGTACCAGCCTCCAGTGCTTTGCCCACTGCAGCGTCCGCTCTCCTTTGGAATCTCCCTCGCGGCAGGCCACCCCGTGTGAGCAAGCTGACGCTTTCCTGCTCAGCCGGAGGAGGGTCACAGCAAGCGGTGAAGAGCTCCCTGAAACATGGTCCACGAACCCGGCGGGTTCCACAGAATGGAGAGTACCGGGAGCTGCCGTCACACGCCTGCTCCACGGCAAACCGCGTCCCCCCAAAACGCAGTCTGGGTCGACCTTTCATTCCAGAAGTCGGTCACCCTGCTCTGCTAGCGTGGCCAGTTGTCCCATACGACACGCTAGACAAACCTCATCCCACTTCACACCCCTGCATACTCACCTGCTCACACCCACCAGCTTGTACACACTCACTCTGTGCAACTCACACTTGTATACACCCTGACACACATGTACACTCACACTCGTGTGTACACACTCAGCTGTGCACACACTCATAAGCACCTCATAATCATGAATACACTCACATGCATAGTCACACTCAAGTGCACATCCATTCATGCTTATCTATACAGACATGCTCAGGAGCGCACGTGACTGTGCTCACACGTTTAAATGCCTGTGCACACACTCATTCTCACATACACATACTCATCGTCACATGAATACCTTCATGAGCACATACTCCCTCATTCATGTAAATAGACATGTTCACATACTTGTATACACGTCCACACACTCATGTACACTTGCTCGCTCACACTCATTTGCACATATGCTTTTAAAAACACGGTAACAGTTTAGTTGCACACACACACTTTAAACATGGTGATGGTTTACAGGGAAGAGCGTCTGGTTCTGACAGCCAGACATGCCCTCGCAGAGTACCTGCACGCCGGGTGTCGGAAAGACTGAGCCCTGCGAAAGCAGCGCGCCCTGGACGCGTGGTCTCCATTCCGTTTTATAAGGGTGACAGGTCAGAGACTGGCACCTGCATGAGGGGGCACACTCGGCATGGCCGAAGGGGACAGGCAGCAGCAATAGCATCTCGCAGCTCAGAAGACCCAAAGTGCCCAGATGTCACGCAGGTGCAGTGAGCGGTGTCTCTACAACAGCCCGGAAGACACCACTGGAAGGTCACTTCTGTGTAAGCATCGTGAAGGCCCGAAAGTTGCTACTTCACCTCCTGCAACTCCCTCTGCATGGCTTGGAGGAGCCGATGGAGTTTCCAGAACACGCTGGGAGCTGCGGTCCCTGAGTCCCGGGTGGCGTCTGCGTCTCCAGGGTCTGCGCACTCCCGCACCGCCTCCTGTAACTGCAGCTGAAGTGGGGAGGAGATGGCGGCGCCTGTGAGGGCCGAGGAGAACCAATGGCGGAATATTTTGTCACAGATTACCTGAAGAAGAGAAGGGAGAGTGGGGCTTCCTTAACCGCAGTCGGCCATAGTAACATTACCACCACCGGACAGGGTCGTCCTGAGGGTCGCACGGCCTGCTGGTGAGAAACAATCCGTTTGTACTTGAAGGTGTATTTGAGGAAAAGGGCTGCATGCACTTTAAGGAGCCTTTTTAAAGTTTTCTTTAGAAGTGAAAGTATGGACCAGCAGTTGGTGTAATGCCTATGTCACTGGACCCCCATGTAGCAACCATGGTTCGAGTCCTGGACCCTGTGTCTTAAACTCACACCGGGTGCATGTGTGTGCGTGCCCAAGATCCCAGGAGGAGAATGGAGAAGAAGGGATAGCAGTGTGGCCATCCCCCCTGGGGGGTGATTTCTCGCATTCTGTCTTTCTGGAGAGTGCACGCACCCTATAACAACAACAAAAAAAGAGTGTAAGTAAAAATTAAACCACTATATCATAGCCTTTCATTCTAATGGGGTATGAAATGCCCTGATGCTGAAGATCTCTTGAAATTCTTAATTTAGTCCCAGCCTGGTGGTGCAGTTGGCAGCGAACCGAACTGCAGTGCTGGATGCCACGTGACTGACCACAGGTGCTGATCCGTGGGTCAGCCTGAACCACAGAGGCATGTGCACCTGCACCCTGGGTCCTGAGGAGCTAGAGGGCCGAGGAACAGGCTCAGACCCCGCCAAGGGTTCTCTTCTCTCTCTCACTCATGCACACAAACTCTATCATAAATAAAATAAACCTAGAAAGAGAAATTCTCAATTTAAACATGTTATTTGTTTTACAGCTTTCATAATTTCCTCCCTGTTGGGGGAACAGGCCTGGGAGCTGCATAATTAATTGAGTTTTATTTTTCTGCATCACACTTTACATCAGGCTCACTTAACAAATGCCTGCACTGAACAAAGCTACTATTTCACGAGGACAAATAATGTCAGCTTCTATTTTTCAATCCTTGCAAAGGCTAGAATTCTTTTTAAAGACAAAGTAATTCTCTTCCGAATAGAGAATACATTTTCATGTGCAAAATGTCCTGAAGAATATACTGCATTCTCAATCCTGCCCCATCCCCAACCCTTGGCTTCACTGAGAGAGGTCACTTCCTTGAACGTCCCCGAGGGAGCACGTAGACCTACACAAGCCAAATCATGAATTCCCTTTTTCTTTTCTTTTACACAAGTGGTAATGAAGCAGGACAGTCTAAGGTCTAGCAGGACTGCCACCATTTTGAAATTAAGAAAGGCCTCTAATGAGAACCATCTGACCAAGTGCTGAATCACAGGTCTGTTTTAGGAAAGGTCAGATGAGAAACCAGGAGTGGGTATTTGAAGGAATCAGGATAATTACTTAGAGGAAAGCAATGACTCTGATTGACTGTACTGAGGAGTGCTTTACACGCCTTGGATCTTGCCCTATAAACACCGTCGAGCTTTCTGAGACAGTTTGGTGGTGCTTGCAGTTTGTCTCCCTGTAACCAGTTATAGAATAAACTTTCTTTTCCAGCCTCTACCTACTCTTTCATTGACCATAAGAAGCAGCAGCCAGACTTAGGTGGCTGGTAACAGTAGTACAATTCTTTTTTTTTTTTTTTTAAGAGGTTTTTGCCATAGGGAAAAGGAGAGAAAGAGACAGTGAGAGGGAAAGTGAGAAATCATCCCCCCTGCAGGGGAGGGTGATGGCCATAGTGCAATCCCTTCTCCTCCATTCTCCTTCTGGGATTTTAGGCATGCACACACAAGGGCCCTGTGTGATTTTCAAGCCACCAAGTCTGGGACTTGAACCACAGTTGGTCATGTGGGAATCCAGTGATGCAGTTACTATGTCCTCTGCTGGCGCTATCCAAATCAATTCCTACAAGGATACTCAACTTGTTTGAATGGCTACATCTCAAATGAATGGACATACCATAAATTTTAACCAGTCTCTACTGATGGAAATCAAGTTGTTTACTAGCTTTTGTCATTACAAACAATGCTGCAATAAATATTTTGCATAACACAAGAGTAGTTCAAGAGCTTGTGGAAAATGGAATTAAAGCACAACTTTATTTTCATGAAAAAAATTTAATCCATGCATTTTTTTCATAATATGCATTTTCCATGAACTTTTTGAAAACTCCTAATTGATGTCATTTTCAGTTTTTGTATGTGACTAAAAACTTTCAGAAATGGGATTTCTGGGTCAAGAGATACATGATTTTTTGGGGGAACCAGCAGTTAGCGTAATGGCTATGTCGCTGGACTCCCACGTAGTCGACCACGGCTCGCATCCCGGACCCGGTGGCTTAAAATTCACGCCGGGCGCGTGTGCGTGCGTGCCCAAGATCCCGAGAGGAGAATGGAGGAGAAGGGATTGCGGCGTGACCATCCCCCCTGGGGGGTGATTTCTCGCTTTCTGTCTCTATGTCTCTCTCTGTCTGTCTGGCAAGTGCCCTATAGCAAAACCTCTCCAAAAAAAAAAAGGAGATATATGATTTTTTTGTTGTTTTGATAGATATTTTTCAAATGACCCAATAAAAGTACCAGTTTATACTCCCTCAGCAATGTATCCAAGAATACTTGTTTCCTCCATCACTCTGCCAACGTGTGTGTCACATTCTCATTTTGCCAACAGATGTGTGAAAATAATTTAATTTGCATTTTTCTCATTCTCAGTCAGATTGAAAGCTATGCTTCATTCTCAGTGAATGATCAAGTTTATATCCTTTGCCCAAATGTCTCTTAGGTTGTTGGCTCTTTTGTGTATTGATTTGTGGATGCTCTTTACATACTAAGGATATTAGCCTCTAGCCTTAGGTTGGTTCCCCAGGAAGCAGACTCCATAATGGAGGTTTTCATGCAGGAAATTGTTGAAGGCTGTTCCTGGGCACTACATCTTCACAGAACTGAGGAAGAAAGCAAATGTCCAGGGCTCAGATGGCCCTATGAGTTGTCCCTTATTAAGCAAAGGGGCTGGGCTTTACAGTGGGTGTAACATTGGCAAAAACAAGTTGTGGTCAACAGGTCTAGGGCAAACATGTGTGAGCTCCAGCAAATGGAGGAGCTCCTCCATCCATCCTTTACATTCCTGGTCTGTAAGGGAAATTGCAAATAATTTGTAAATTTTCTCATTTAGCTTTTAAACTTGCTAATTTTTTAAAATTGTTTTTACCAACACAGGTTATTTTTGTTGTTTTTTGTTTGTTTGTTTGTTTGTTTGAAGCTAGCTGGAGTTTGTCAACTGTTCCTCTAATGGACTCTGGGCTTTGTTCCACATGTCTGAAGGCCTTCCCTTTGCTAGAACAGTATTTAACATTCTCCGAATTTTCGTTCTGGTACATTTGGGATTTCATTTTTTAAGTGCATTTAAGCCACATGGACTTTAGTTTGACAAAAGGCATGAAGCCGGGGGTGACTGGTCATTGTCCTGCTTGGCGACCCAGTTCACCCAGCACTCTTTGCATGATCCAGCTTCCTCTACTGGTCTAAAATGCCCCTTCGCCCAGACTGAGTCTCTTATGTCAGTAAGTCACCTTCTGAAATAGTTTTCATTCTATCACATGGATTCGTCCATTAATTTATGCAGGGCAGGGTTTGTTTTGTTTTGTTTTGTTTTTGGTAAAAATTTAACTCAGGAAAGTAGAAATTTTACAGAATGCAGAAAAGATGAAGAGAAAATAATCTGTAATCATCCCAAAATGATTGCTTTTGGTATCTTGGTATCTATCTTTTTGATCATATACTATTAACAGAAATAAATCATATTGCAAATACCAATCTGTAACCTGCATTTTTTTTTCAGTTAATAATGCTTGACGTTTCCTCATATCTTTAAGAAATTGTAATCTTGTTCCCAAGATTTTATTGGAAGGCAATCATCATACATGTGCACAAATTAAAATGCTCAGCTACAGAGCGTGAATATTCCTAACAGCCATGCTCTCTCCAGAAAGATATCATTTATAATCCCATTAACAATGTAGACACTCATCTATTTCCCTGGAGCCTCTACTGCTAATTAATAGCATTTTAATGACTATTCCCAATTGGTAAGTGAAATTCATTATCATTGCATTTTAGTTTGCATGTCTTTGAACGGTAAGATTAAATCTTTTTCCTAGTTCTCTGGCCAGTAGGATTTCCTGGTTTACGTATCTGGAACCTGTCCTTCCCTGATTTCCTGGTTTACGTATCTGGAACCTATCCTTCCCTGATTTCCTTTGTGTTCCTCTTGCCTGTTGATGAGTCCATCCTAGCCTTTTCTGCATTAGGGGTGAAACCTTAGTCTCTCACTCTGGGGCGACGGGCAGGTGCCCACATTCCGGTTTCCTGGTGAAAAGTCATCTTGTTCCCACAGTTCCCACAGTTCTAGAAAAACATCTTCATTATGGCCCTGCCGAGGTGTGAGCGCTCATTCAGTTAAAGAGGCTGGGATGGGGAGGCCTCTGAAGGCCACAACATCGCTTCCAACCTTACAGTGGACACACCTTGTGATTCTGCAAGTCCGCCCAGAAGTCCAGGGCTTCGCTTGGGCTGCCCAGGGGTCACCAGGCTTCTCAGGATGATGGCTCAGAACCAAGGCGAGTGCCTCTGGTCTCACTGGCCGCCCTGCATTTCTGGTCTCATTGGGATCAACTGGCCTTCCAGGCTTAAGGACTATGAGGAGCACAGGCTGCAGTGAAGGCTCCACTGGGGAGATGGTGGGGGGAGAATATTAAAAAGTAGGGCTTTTAGTAGGAAGGATGAAAGTTCCTACTTCCATTGTGTTAGGACTATGAGGAGCACAGGCTGCAGTGAAGGCTCCACTGGGGAGATGGTGGGGGGAGAATATTAAAAAGGAGGGCTGTAGGAAGGATGAAAGTTCCTACTTGCATTGTGTTGACATAAAATAAATAAACACAAGTTTAAAAAGTAGGGACATGTGTGCTGAGAGCCTAGAGGAGCGACTGCACGCACCAAGGCAGATGGGGTGAGCTTGGTGCCACCACGGCCCCCTGCAGAGGCCCTGGGTCTCTTTCTGGTTATAATCAGCACCTGTGCCCCCAGGCCCATCCTCCCTCACCTCCAAGCCTCAGGGAGAGCAGAAGAGGAGGAAGCTTTACAAGTAGGTAGGTCTCACAGACAGTGTACCCAGCCCTGGATTTGGGACCCCCACCCTCTGGGCTGGTAACGGATGCCTGGACCCATCACTCATCTCCTAGATGTGGCTTTCTTTCTCCCTCCAAGGCCCACGGCCCGGTCCTGAGCCTGCCAGTCTGAACTGTGATGCAGGTCCAATCTCTCTGGTGTGGCTGCCTTATAGCTTCCCACTCTTCAGTCTGCTCCTTGAGGAATTCATCCCAGGTTCTCATCGTGTGTGTGTGTGTGTGTGTGTGTGTGTGTGTGTGTGTAGATGCAGGATCTAGATCCAGAGAGAATATGTTCCATGACCAGCAGCTCACCACAGCCTCAGAGAGGAAGTGCAGAGGCTGGGTTTAGACCCACCCTCGAACCCGCCGAGCCACTGGACATAGCCCTGTGGGCCAGGACAAAGAACAGACATGTGACCGCCGCTGTCCTGCCCTCAACTCTCAGAGCACAGCTCTGCACCAGGGGTCTCCGGCGATGAGGGCAGAGCAGCCCCGCCCACGCACCCCACCCCACGGACCACCGCTTACTTGCAGGTTGCTGTTCACGCGTCGTGCTCCACACTTGTTGACTCGCAAATCACACTTTGAAAAACAGTCAAAGAAATTGCAGTCTTCATCCCCCGTGCAGTTTTGCTCAAGGATTTCCCTCATTTTTGGTTCAAAAAAAGCCATGTCCACATCGATAGCCACCACCTGCCACCAGAACAGACCGCAGAGATCAAGACATCTGCCAGTGGGCACGCAGGGGGAGGGGTCTGCTCTGCCCACCCCGCGGACGGTCATCACTCTGCCACCGAGAGCAGAGCCCAGGCCTCGTCCTGGGGAGGCCCTGCTTACTCCCAGGGTATGCTGTTTTTCACATAAGCAGCTGTCAGAGATCATGGGGCAAGACTTAACTGCAAAGGGAGCCCGTGCTGGGGCCAGCAAGTGGCATGGTGGTTAACGAACTCCCACAGGGCCAACCGCTGTTCAAGTCCTGGACCTGGCAGCTTGAAAATCATGCTGGGCACATGTGCATGTGTGTCCAAAATCCCAGGAGGAAAATAAAGGAGAAGGGATTGTGGTGTGGCCATCTTCCCTGGGGATGATTTCTCACTTTCCCTCTCACTGTCTCTGTCTCACTCTGGCAAGTGCATGCACTTTATGCAAAAAAAAAAAAAAAAAAAGAAGGCTTTGCTGACACTAAGCTGCGGGTTCAGAACTATAAATGCAAGTGTTGCTTTTCACCTTTAACCATTTCCTCAGCTATAAAAGTAGGAGCCCCAAAATTTTTATTTTTACTAATTTTTTTAAAGAGAGATTTTTGCTATAGGGCATGTGCTGTCTCCAAAGAGACAGAGAGACAGAAAACAAGAAATCACCCCTCAGTGGGGTTGGCCACGCCACAGTCCCTTCTCCTCCATTCTTCTCTCAGGATCTCGGGCATGCACGCACACACACACAGCATGAGTTTAAGCCACTGGGGCTGTGACTTGAACTGCAGTTAACAACATGGGAGTCCAGCGATGAAACCATTACAGCATCTACTGGTCCCTCCAAGATGTCTTTTAAATGAATCCTCACCCCCCACACACACACACACACACGCACTGCTTTTTCACTTTGGGCTCTGGCCTCCAGGGTCAGGATCATTGAGCTCTGTATATTCTAGAAGACCTACATGCCACGCTGTGTGCAGGTAAACAGACACATAACCCAGATTCTCTTATTAGGGCCTGTCACCCACGGCAATTGGCTCCCAACTGAGTACTCGGACGAGTGTGGGGGAAATGGCAGAATCACAGCTCCTGACTTGGGGGCGAAATGGAGACCCGATCCAACAGGTTCGGGTCTCCCTGTCGGCATGAGAACTCAACGACCTCCTGGAATTTCAAATTCATCTTCCTGACTTCAAACCTAACAGACTTCAGGCTGAGGAAAAGCATAGCTTCTAAATTATGCAGATTTTCTTCCACCACCCGCACACAACAGAAAAAGAAGAGCACGAACCTGGAAAAAAAAATTAAAACCTGAAGTCTGTCCAAATAAAGCACTTGACAGCTCTGAGGTATTAAAAAGCTATTAGAAAACTGGAAGCCTTTGAGGGAGTCGCCGGCACTTCATGGGCCCTCACAGGTTGGCAGCCAAATGCCAGCCCTCCACTCCCTTCGCTGGTGTCTCCAAAGGGCCCATGGGTGGGCGCTCATCTCTGTTCATCCCTGCTCAGCCGTGCTCCATGGGCACATTACAGTCCCTGTTCTGATTTGGGGTTTTGTTTTTTATTCCAGATTGATGCCGGAAGGCTGGAAGTTTTCTTGGGGGATTAGTAAAACAGAGCAGGAGGAAAATGATTGGTTTCAAAATATGTAGATAATAAGAAAAATAAAGAACAAAGGGAGGGGCCGGATGATGGTACAACAACAAAACGCAGCGCTCTGGAAGCTGGCCCGCACGCGACGGTTCCTGGCTCACACCCAGAGCCCTCCCTGAGTGCACTGGGCACGTGCATGCCCATGATCCGGACTGGCTGAGGCTGGGGTGAAGAGCCGCATCAAGACCCTATTGGGATCTGTTACTCTACCTTTGTGGGCATCTCTCAGTCATGGAAAAACTAAATAAACTTTAAAAATAATAGTGATTTTCCCTAGTTAAGGGCTTTGCCTTATTGCTAATTCAGACACAGAAAAGAAAACTTATTTTAATCAGTTTTTCCTATCTCCTTATTTTCAAAAGATGAGTGCATTTTTTTTCTTTGTTTGCTTATCCAGGTGGGAGAGGAGAACTTGGAAGTTGCTGCATTTACCCTGGTTAACGCTCAAAGTGGGCAAAGCCTATGGTAATGAAGCCACTGTCAGAGTAATTTATTACTGGGCTACCAGACCCTTCTTTCTGGGACTCTGGCAACCTCCCCAGCCTCCCCTGGGCCCATAGATAGAATTTCAGCTTCTGGCACCTTCTCTCTCCCATTTCTGCTGATTTCCTCATCTACCAGGGAAAGTCAGATTTATTTGTTAACTTTTGGTGTATGACCTAGAATGGATTACAGCTCTTGTAAGCATAGCCCTATGCGCCTAAAATAAGAACAGCAACAAAACAGAAAAGCCTGCATGATGTTCCTGAATATTAGGAGAACCATCAAATTATTCCTGCATGAAACTGCCTAATGCGCATCATCCTCTCCAAACTTCCTCCCGGCATCGGAATAGAAAGATTGGTGAGAATTACTTCACTCTCTGCTGAAGGGGTGGCTCCAGAGCAAGGAAACACAGCGCAGGGTGGGAGGCGCGTTGTTGGTGGCATTTGGGGTCACTGAGGCAGCAGGTTCTGAACTGCTCATTCTCAGCCTGGGCGAGTTCTGAAGACCTGCGGCGCAGCCTGACCCACGGAGCAAAGGTCCTGGAATCGTTGGTTCTGACACTGCGTGTGAAAAGCCCCAGACACCTCCATTCCCCCCGGGGGAGCAGCTGCTGGCTGTCTGCACAGCCGTCCGCGCACCGAGCACCTACTTGAGGCCGTCCTGTGCAGCTGTTGGGGCACAAGGTAGGCGGCGCCCGCGCCGAGAGCTGGATTATTGGCAAGTGTGCGAGCAAAGGCGTGCACATGCCCACCGGCTCCTTCACGAAGCAGGCGCCCTCTCGCATCCCCAACACCCCAGAACCTGCTGTGCCCTCACGACACTGGGCACTATGGCACCTCTTTCCACGGCAGTCGTCCTGATCACTGACCAGGGAGGACTGGT